GAATAAAATAGAACTAAAAGAGAAGAAACATACCAGTGACGCTCTCAAAGTCGCAGAAAGCCTGGCAAGTGTGCGAAGTAAAGACGTGGTTTCGGGCAATAGCGGTTTCTCCAGGCAAACTAGAAGAGCGTAAAACCATCGTCCCTGCAGAAAAAAAAATTGCTTGGTGGCACGCCTTGACAACTCACATAAAGACGTTGCTACTTGGCCCTTAGCCTGATTGTCAGAAAGTCCAGGGAGAGAGTGCTTGGCCGTGAATGACCTGGACCGTCTGAGAATCCGGCTAAACTTGACTCTTGACTAAATATGGAGGCAGCGTGGCCGAGTGGTCAGCACGTTAGAGTACCGGGTTCGAGTTCCGCTCTGATCACTACCTGGATTTGTTTCTCGGTAGCCCCGAGTTCAAATCCTCGATCACGCTTGTAAATAGCCAACTGGTTTCCCTCCAGCCAGTTGGGATTGTTAACAATGTGCTATAAACGATTTGCCGAAGGTAAATAAAGGTTACTATTATACCATTATTACTCTACCTAAGCCTCTTCCAGGTACTCGGTTACTTTAGAATCAGCACAAAAACTGGCAAGAAAAAAATTTACCAGTCCTGTAAAATGTTCAGCTTGCTTTAATATGATTTCTAACAAGGGCATCTAACTTCAGCAAAGGCTTGGATGAATCTACATTAGTTTGTGAATTACCTGATTGTGTGAAAATCCAATTTCTTCTAACCATTCCACATGATATTCTAAAACTTGTAATAAAGTGGCCTGGAAGATAAATCACAGTATTACGTCTTTTCCCCATGGTAAAAGGTACCCTCATTACAGTTAACAGGCCATCGATGGAAGGTTCCGATAAGTCATACCTGGCAAGGGATGAAAAATCTTGGTTGTTGCAGAGTCGGTGGTTTGTAAANGATTTGTTTCTCGGTAGCCCCGAGTTCAAATCCTCGATCACGCTTGTAAATAGCCAACTGGTTTCCCTCCAGCCAGTTGGGATTGTTAACAATGTGCTATAAACGATTCGCCGAGGTCAAATAAAGGTTACTATTATACCATTATTACTCTACCTAAGCCTCTTCCAGGTACTCGGCTACTTTAGAATCAGCACAAAAAATGGCAAGAAAAAAATTTACCAGTCCTGTAAAATGTTCAGCTTGCTTTAACAAGATTTCTAACAAGGGCGTCTAACTTCAGCAAAGGCTTGGATGAATCTACATTAGTTTGTGAATTACCTGATTGTGTGAAAATCCAATTTCTTCTAACCATTCCACATGATATTCTAAAACTTGTAATAAAGTGGCCTGGAAGATAAATCACAGTATTACGTCTTTTCACAGGCTTGAAAGCCAAACTGAGCTGAGATCCCCATGGTAAAAGGTACCCTCATTACAGTTAACAGGCCATTGATGGAAGGTTCCGATAAGTCATAGCTGGCAAGGGATGAAAAATCTTGGTTGTTGCAGAGTCGATGGTTTGTAAAGGTTCACCCATCAGTTAACCTACAATTTCTTTGTTTGTTGGTTTGTTTGTTTTCTGTAAATTGCTCATAGAGCTTGTGATATGTTTTTTGGCATGACACAACATTGTCTTCTACAATCATACAAATAAAATGGATACTGGCAAATCCATGGTTTGGGGAGGAGAGTAGCTTTGGATAACACACCAACATTCCAAGCTCGTTTTTTTCTTCTTCAGAAGCTGTCAGTACAATATGTACCAATATTTCTCAGATGACTTCATGTCAAATGAAAACTAAGAGAAAAATTAAGTGCTGGTAAGTTCTTTACTTAAGTTAATAATACCACTTCTTAAGCTTACTTGATTAATTTGTCGAAGAACACTAAGCAGTGGTGGAGTACCTTCCTGCAAAAGGAACATCAAGGGTTAACTGAGGCATAACACCCTCAAAATGACATTATTTTAAGCCTTTCTACCAATCTGCATGCGTGAAGACATGCAATTATGAAATCCTTCAGGTCTGGTTTCTAACACTTCTTCAAGGTGTAAAACTCTGAAATATACTGACAGCATACAGCGTGTATGTAAACAAGAAAGAGAAGTGACAGAAGTGTGAACAAATGGACAAGCCTGCCTAATGGAGGTTACTAACTCCCACAATGGCCTCAACAACCTCACATATTTGCTATGAGTTTTTCAATGAAATTTCTGTGCATTCTTGTGCATATTTCAGGCTCCATTGAGGTGATCACTCTAAACTGGTTATCATTGATAAGCTCTTTTCTCCCGCAGAACTTGAGCATAGATAATGCCAATTTTGGTCAGAGGTGATGAAATCAGAAGTGGAACAAACGCCAATGCTCGTCACAGCTGGTTACAGGTGGCATGGGAGTCAATGGGTTAAAAAATATACATGTACAATAAGCAAAATTGATCAAAATCACCTGATTAGTGCTTGATGAATCAATGCCATCTGACAAGTACTCGCCATTTTCTGTTTTCTTACTGCCTTTCCTGTTTAATGAGTAATGAGTTTATAATGTTGACTAAATGAAAGGTTTTTTGAGGTGCCTATTGAGCAAGTAAAGTGCCTGACATGTACATGTAAATCAAGTACAACAGTTACCTTAACTACTAATAATGTATTGATCAACAATCATTGTAGCTGATCAATTCATAATTCCTACATATCATTTGCCATTTTTCAGTGTGAAGCACTTGCTAAAATTTAGCATACTTGTCTAGTTATGCAACATTTTTGAGGGATCTGCCATGGAATATCCCACATGACACTTGACTGTAATATTTACTTGGTGCAATGTACACTGTACCTGTATACACATGAGCCTTGAAATACATTTGCCAGCACTATCTATGTGGCAGTCACAGTGAGAAGGTTGGGTGTAATACCATTGTAGGTAGGTAGGTAGGTAGGTAGGTATGAGAGACCCTGAGAACGAGGTTGCAAGTTTAGAACTCGGGCATACCGTAAATCCTGCGCTCGGTCCGTACTGCCACGGCCTCGGGCCAATATTTCGCCCTCGCGCTCGGTTAGTAAGAGGTTAATAATTAATACGCTCGCGTAAAGATGGTCGCTGTTCAAACTACGGTTTTATACAGAGAGAAAGTATAAAGAAAAGCTGTTTTGTTCTAGTTTCAATTTTCCTTTTGACCTCACTCCCAAAATAAGGTATATTTTATGCAGCATTCTTCGCTGAATATAGAGCCTACGCATAAAACTTTTGTTAAGTCTTGTTGGCACATTCATCTTGTAAACTGAGTTGAGTTAGTGGACGATTTCAATGAAGCCGACTCTATTCAGATGTCTATTCATACCTTTTCGGTTGTTATTAGTTTTAAGCTAACTTTTTTTAGCCGTCTTTATTTTGTTCCTTACATGAAGCAATCGTGTATTGCGTTAGTATAAGTACAGTACTCTGTTCACTGTAATACTATTTACATCTCGACGATTTACGATTTTACATCAACGAGTTGTACGTACATCGAAGACGTATAGCGAAGGACGAAGAATAAACTTGTGAAGTCCAAGTTTCTGAGTGTCCTGATTTCAGTTGTAGTCGCAGATCCGTCGGTACTTTGGAACCCGTGACAAGTTCCTTTCCCGCAGTAAGCGAGGTGCTCTGAGCTAATTCCCGAGTCAAGTTAAATGTATAGAGTCAAGCGCACCAGGTTCCAGCCAGTTAGGCCTCTCAAATGCCCGTTTTCCCCTAGTTAATTAGAGTCCAGAGTGGAAAAACTCGTTGTCACAGTACCACGCCTGCTTGGGCCAATATTCCCTAGTATGGCCCTCGATCGCGCTCGGTTGGTAAGAGGTTGTTATTTATAGTGAACTTGTATGGCCTTTTCTGATCGCCCGTTTTAGGGCAAAATGCTCTGTTGTCATGACTGATTGAGTGATCCTCTCTAAGGATATACCTCACTACGGGCCCGTTTACATCGAGCAGACTCGTCCCTGGTTGGAGGGTTACCTGCTCAGTATAGGAAACGTTGGTTCGGCGCAAACCCTCTTCGGGTTTAGATATTACAGCTAAACCTGAAGAGGGCTGATCTGGCCACCCGAAATATTGTTTCAAATACACTACGTTGTGTCGGCCTTGCAGTAGTCTTTGACTTGTCGTCGTTCTGTAATAACACATGCACTCGTGGCTGTACACGTGAAAATATGGCAAGGAGCCGCAAACGAAAATGCTGCTGGTGTAAGTAAAAGATCTGTAAATGATCTGGTCAGCCAACAGTTGAAGTCACATTAAGCAAGGCTGATACTACGTAGGCAACTTAACGCGAAATGGCATGATAGAGTCGACCAAAAAACCATGCTACCGTGAACAGCTGTCTCGACCTGTTCACAGTTGGGTCTCGTCAGCACGGCCCGTGTGTAGCAGCAGAAAGTAGAGTAACCATGACCAGCACGAAGGCCCA